TGTTTAGGCGTTTGTGTACTCCAACGCCTCTCGTTGTCTGATTTCTCGTCTGCGCGCTCAGTATTTTTTCGCTGCATGCGTACTGCACGTACATACTGCATTAGCAGAATATATTTTGAGCAACCTTGACCACGCCTCGCACGGTGAACCTCACGACCATCGACACAGTTGTTTGATGGCGATTTGTTCCTGCATGCAGCCCCCGTCTCACCCAGCAATCAGACACGATCCTCCCACCCGCTCGTTGGCAAAACATAATGACGGTGTGCCCTGCCTCCCAAGAATTTGGCTTGCCGCTTTCCCTACACTAGTGACCAGGTTGGTCCTGGCACATCTTCCACAAGTTGGAAGGCGCGTTTTTCTGGTTCTCGGAGACTTTGGATCAGAATGCCGCCTAGATGATGGAAACAGTAAAGGTATCGTAGGTAGGTAAGCGGATAACCCACTTGTTGAAAAGGACGATATCAGGTAACCAGACCTTATCCGGTGTAACTCTTATCTCTTTAATCTCACCATAATTCACAGGATTCCATCGCATTTGGAAGTCGTGCCACTTCTGCAGAAAAATTGTAAATCGACAAATAAGAAGGCAGTTCGAAGAGACATCAGAAGTTTAGTGCGAAGGACTTACCAACGTTAACCACACATTTGTATGCATGACTTGATTCTTTTCATCCTGCAATGATCTTTCTCAAGCTAGTCGATGAATTGTTTCTGATCCCTGCACATGGTAATGGAGTCAGGGAGCACCCACGGGGGAAAATCTTGCGAAATGTGTACACCCCTCTCGTCCCCTCCCCACCTCTACTGCGATCAATTCGACCCCCTGGCTGGGGATTCCAACGTAAAACGTGTGCTGTATGAAGTTTCATGGGAACCTTTATTATTTCTCAATGATCAGCTCCTCTTCCCCCTGCTATAATCGAAATCACAGCTTGAAGGCGTCTCCCAGGAAACGGGAAAAGACGAGAGATTGAGGAAGATGGACAAGCACTCACTACGTTTATAAGTAAGACAAGCTGCAATGCGACCTTCACGATGATTGGCATGTCGCTGGCATTTCTGGTGGGCTGCAATGAAAATCCATGTACTTGTCGATATTGATCGGAAATTCGATAGAAACTCACTTGAATGAAGTGAATTATATCCCCGAAATACGTCCATCATGAGGCGTTCCTCATCATCAGATGCGAACACTGAATTAAGTAGTAGCTCACTATTTGTTGTCAAGATCTGCATTAGCACATTCCCATTTTTAGAAATGATGTCAAA